AAGTCCACGACCCAGCCTTCAACAAGCAGCGCAACAGCAAGCATCCACCCTGGAGCCTCTGACCCAAGGATTGCTTCAGAGAGTTCTTAAAGCGCACCCTGACCGAGCCAGTGGTCCTGATGCGGTTTCAACACAAATGCTGAAAAGCCTGCCACCATTGGCATTGACTCCTCTGCTACAGCTCTTTCAGACCATGGAGCACACTGCAGAGCTTCCAACTCAGATGCAAATGCATCTAGTAGTCATGTTACCCAAGAATCAGAAGCTGGAGAGGCCCATCACGCTCACATCCACTCTCTGGCGTGTTTGGTGCCGCTCTTGGACAGATGGCAACACTTGCCAGAGAGCATGAACCACGACAGAGCTAGACCTGGAGCCAACGTACTCCATGTGGCATTGGAGCGCCTAGTCACCAAGGCAAGAAAGCAACACGGCATCACCGTCTTGATGGACATGTCAACCTTTTACGACACCATCCATCTTGCCAGGTTGCAGGACGAAGCGCTTAGGCTCGACTACCCGCCACTTCTTCTGCAACTGGCCATGCAGGTGTACTGTGGTCCCAAGGCCATACTAGCTGAGCAGGAGATGACGCCCTTCTTCCATGTAGATCACGGAGTTCCCGCTGGGTGCCCACAGGCTCCACTCCTGGCCAAGGCAGTTCTGGCTCCTGCATTGATCCCATGGAAAGAACAACACCCTAAGGCCAACTTGTCCAGCTGGGTAGATGATGTGGGCTTCGACCTCACTGGACCTTCAGCCATGCAGGTGGCACAGCAGGCAGTAGTTGAGGCCTACCGAGATCTTACCATAGACTGACAAGCTTGGGTCTGAAAGTCAATCCCAAGAAAACGGCCTTTATAGCCACAGATCGAGACACTGAACATGCTCTGAAGGGCTTACTGCAAGAGCACGAACCACCGATTTCCACTGTGATGAGAGACTTGGGGGTGGATCATCAAGTGGCTAGAAGACGGAGAATCCCTGTTCTACGTCAGCGCTTTCAAAAAGCCAAGCAACGGAAGCTCAAATTGAGGACGTTGAAGATTCCAGCTTTGAAAATACGGCTGCGCCTTCACAAAGGAGGAATCCAACCAGTGGCTCTCTGGGGCATTGAAGCACAAGGTCTTGCACCACGATACCGCATAGCCCTCAGACAGGCACTGGCAGCTCATTTGAGGCATCATGCCGGTGGGCTTCTTGACAGCACCTATGATCTGAACAGCAACAAGTACATCGACCCGGGTGATCAAGTCATTTTGCACCACATCAAAGCCATACATACTCTCTTTCACAACTGGCCTCCTGACCAACTCCAGCAACTCGAGCAAGCATGGACCGAGATCTACCACCAACTCAGTCAGCGGAACCATCCATGATATGTGGTGAGAGGTCCCATGGCAGCAGCCATTGCATATATGCTGGAATGGAGATGGTAAGTCCAAGACATCCATCGATGGCATCGAACCAGTGGACCCTACCTGGTTGAGGCTGAGATCACCTTGCAAGATCCTTGGTGGAAAATTGAACGTGCACTGTTGCCAGAAGCCAAGGCACAACGCACGGCACGACTTGCCAGCAAAGAGCACCAACAACATCTTGTTGCTGGACTTGACTGGCACACTTACAGACAGGTGATCCGCACCATTCCAGGCGAGCACAAACCACATTTGCGGACCTGGGCGCAGGCAGCCATCCACTTCAAGGAGGATGGCAAACCCAAGATGTGCCCCATTTGCAAAGTCCCTGCGACCACAAAGCACATACTTTGGTTGTGCAAATGGCACCAAACAGCTGCATGGATACCGCTCGAGCCCCAAGAGAACAAACAGATGCCACAGCCCTATCAAGGACACGGAGCTTGGCAAGATCTGCAGCCACTTGCTCCCCATCAACACCGAGGGTGGGCCTTCGCCCTCGATGCAACACCATCGAGCTATGATCAGCGAGATCAGCTCTGGGTCTTCGGCCTCTGCGTGCACCATATGACCCTGGGACCATTGCAAAGGCTCGGAGCCATTACATGCACACCAAATCCACCTCACACCAAAGCCAGAGCACGCATGGAAGGATTGGTTGCCTTGGCCAAGCACACCACCACGGCAGCGCGAGTCATCGTCCAGCTGGTCAGTGTGTGGGAAGCATGGACACAACCCAAGCGTAGACGACCGTTCAACGACCAACTTGAACACCTCACGAAGCAAGATTTCCGAAGGGTCAAGGTCCTCTACGTTTCCAGGAACACCAGGTCACCAGAAGCACCAGGCAGCGAGCCACAGCTACGCAGACGGCAGCGGGATGCAGCCCTGGCAGCTTGGGAGCGGGCCAAGCAATACCAGGACCGAAAGCGCACAGAATGGCAAAGGGTTTTGGATGAAGACCACAAGCTCATCTACACCCATGCCATCAACCGCCTGGCCAAAATCTACAGCGATAAAGAGCACTACATCCATTAGAAGCCACCCCGGCACCAAGGCAAGCAAACCAAGCAATACAAGAAGCAGCTCATTGCTAAGTGCAGAAAACCCTGGTCAGCCCCATCTCACCGCTGGGCACCACATAGAAGTGGACATCAATGTGGAGCATGTGGAGTACGAGTGCATCAGGCACTGACAGTACAAGTCATTGAGGAGCGCCTCAATGAAGAATGTCCCCAACTCAGCATTGAGGAACACCTGCCGGCACCTGAGCAACCGCACCAACCTATGCCAAAGAAACTGACCAGAACCCAGGTCATCAAACAAATCTTGCAGCAACAGCAGGAGGTGACGCCACCGCCACAGCAGCATGAACTCGAAGAAACTGCTGGCTATCTACGTTGTGTGAGGTGTGGCACCAATGTCCACAAGCGAAGCAATGAACAAGTCTTCCAGGCCTTTGTTCAAGGACAATGCCTAGATCAGCCATACACCTCAGCCCATGCAGGCCACACAAGTCACGGTTTGTGGCAAAAAGGCAGTAAAGTCACATGTACACAGTGCGGCGTCACCCTGCATTTGGATGGACAGCAGCGGCTCATCCTCACAGCAGCTGTCAAGAAGCCCTGCAAAGGCTCCGGCAGCAGTGGCTCACCACCGCTGACGGAAATCTTTCGGAAGCAGATGGAGCAAGCATCACAACACAGTTCACCGGATTCCGCTGGTGACACAAGCCACATGGCAACACAAGAACCTCAGGCCTTGCATGAGCAGGTCAAGAAACCACGACTGGACAACAGGCAGCCTGCCCAGCCCAGCACAGAAGACCACCACAGGCCTACACCAAGGAGATTGCACTTCCCAACGGGCTTGGACCTACAGGAACAGGGCTCAAAGGCCGACGCAGCTGCTTTGGCCATGATACCCAGCCAAGTGGCAGCAAAGGCACCCACCAGGGGCTCCGGCCACACTGCAGACACATCACAACGGGCAAACGCCTCTATGGTTGAGACTGCCAGTCAGCCCAGTGATGACAATGAACATGAACAAGATGACCAACCGCTCAATGTCGACTACTACTTCTGAGCAAATGGCAGCATTCGATGTGAGGCACCTGCCCTAGCCGACCGGCCAACATGGCCATGGAGCAAACACTTCAGAAGAAAAAATACATACATACATACATACATACATACATACATACAGTTACATACATACAGTTACATACATACATACATACATGCATACATACATACATACGTACATACATACATAAATACATACATACATACTTTGTCAATTCTGTGGGTTCGGAATGCATACACGGTCACATGTTCCATGCCACCTTGCCACATGCTCAAGTCAAGGGCGGGCGGGCGGTTGTTCCACATTAACTTGTGGATTCGAGCCATTGGAACGCAGGGCGTTGCTACGGAAGATCGAACTTGGGCAATCATTTATAAGAGCAGGGCTCTTTATTTAGAATCTTGGAGGACCAAGAGGTCAAATAATTGTTGTGCAAGTTCATTTTGGTTTACAGGTGTGAGCCTTTCTCCGCAGGTCTCCCTTACCTTTTACGGGCTCCTGTTTGGACTTGTAAATACATACACTACGTACATACATACATACATACATACACACATACATACATACATACATACACACATACATCCATACATGCATACATGCGTACACACACACATACAGTTACTTACATACATACCCACATACATACCTACACACATACCTACATACATACCTACATACATACATACAGTGCACATTTGTGGACAATGTTTTACATTATGTTGAAAGCTGTTTGGAAGCTTGCCCTGAAGGATGCCTATGCGGATCTTAGCTATTTCAACGATGTTGGCTACCTTCCGGATGGCACACCCCTGAACAGAGCAGGAAATGCCATCAATCACCCTGAGCAAATTCAAGCTGACCCTCATGCTCCTGGCTCTCCTTTGCCCCGGGCAATTTTTGCGAATGATGTGGGCTACCTTCCAGATGGCACTCCTATGAATCAGGCAGGCAATGCCATCAACCATCCAGGCTCCATCCAGCCAGATCCTCATTCTCCCGGTTCTGCGCTGCCTGCGTCAGCATACTCTGCCGATGTTGGATATTTGGTGGATGGCACCCCCATGGATGCCGCCGGCAACAACTCCGTCCATGGTTGAGAGAAGCTTTCTCCCTGTGAAGGTTGTTAGGATTCGTCAAGCATTTTCAAGGCACTGGTCCCGAAGTGGCCAAGTTTTCCTGCTAACAATGCCAGTTTTCAACACAGTTGGAATTCCTTTCTAACACGACTGCCTTGCAGCTTCGTGAGGGTGCTGGAAAGACTGCAGTAACCCAAGCTTTTGCACATCGAAGCATTCGGATTGATAAAGAACGGGAAAATCTATATAATTCCCGTCACTTGCCAATTGCTCGACATCCACGACCCTTCACAGAGAGAGATGAAATCCTTTGAATGCTTTTGATTCATACAAGGCTGACCCAAGCTATTCGAATAGATAAGATTGGATGGTGTATAACACCGGGAACCCCTCCTGCTCAATGGGGCACTTGCACAAGGAGGGCCGTAGCAGCGAGGCAATCGGTGCCATCAGCCGAGGCAGGAGTGGAACAATTCAAGGACCGAGATGATTCGAGATGAAAAGAGAGAGGTACAGTTGCAGGCCCCTTTCAAAGAGAGCCCCTACCATTTTTTCATATCAGCCATTATTGGTTTGAGAACTATTGCCAGTGATGGGTAGGCAGCAACTTGGCAATTGGATGCAATTGAAAACTTCTTGATGATTCGCTTTGCAGGTGCGAAGCTTGCTCCACCCATGGAGGCCTCGGCTTTGCACAGTATTTTGGCAGTCGGGAGTCCCGGTAGAAAATGCACGGTAAGTTGAAGACACGGGAGACAGAGGGAAGGGTTTGAATAAATAACTGGATGGATTACTGGGATGGAACACTTTGACGAACGACAACAACTTGTGTAGCTCGAGCTTGTTTGGCAGCCATCTCAGGTAGGGCCGGGCTGAGTTTTCAAGAGGATGATGTGACACCAAGGAGATGCATCAGAACCTTGGTCAAGCTGGAGAGGCCCTCATTGCCTGGGAGGCCAGAAAATTCGCTTTACGGTGTCTATAGTGAATATAGTGTGAATGATGTGTATGTGTATTTATATCTATATATATACATTTATATACACAGTGTAATCCAGTGTTTTTGTAGCCATTTGACTGAAGGCTGCTGCGAGCTTGAATCCTGAGAGTGGCTGGGCTAGAACTTTTTGGATCTTGTTGCTATGTGTTCTATTTTTCCAGACAGTTACAGTAGTAATACATTATGCTATACAGAGGTTGGTTGGAGCAGTTTGGCTGACGGATGCAGACTGCATGCGGAAACGGCCGCAAATTGACAGAACACGACAGACGCATTCTTTTTGTACTTTTGGCCACTTGTATATCATGTCAAGCCTTCCCAGCATGGAGACTACTGTTTGTACCAGCACGTTAGAGGGAGCCAACATTCTGCAATGACATGACGCTGCTGTTGCGTGATAAGACCGTACCTCATGGTCGTGTTTGTCAGAGTCCTGCAATGGGTCACATAGTGGCAGTGGCAATGCAAAATTTCAGTGTAAACTGTCCTGTAAGCTGTTTGTCGAATTGCTTGGTTGAGCTGGACAGGTTTATATAGACTTCAGTTCATCAGATAATCTATATAGATTATATACGACTGTATAGGCAAATATGCTGTTGTGCGCAATAACCCCAACCTTTCATAATCTTTTGGAGTTGAATATGTTGAATTTGACAGCGTTTGCTTTGTCACTTGCCAGCGTGAGCCTAACTGAACACCGTTTGTGAGTAAGCTTATCGGCAACATGCCACACCGTGCAGACAGCTGCAGCCAGCTCTTTCAAGAACGAATCGCATCACGACATATTTGCTGTTTACGAGTCCTAAATTTAGACATCTTCTAGGAGCAAGGACGCTACTAGGGGCTCCTGGCGGAGCAAGAAGCTACTAGTAACAAAGGGCATCGCTACTAGTAACAAGAAGCTACTCGAGCAGAAAATCCAGTTATGTCCGCCGACCGGACCAAGGCTTAGCTGCCTGGCGCGGTTTGGCAGCTGCCTCCAAGAGCGATGCGCCACTGCAGATGAGAGCCTTAAAGCGCTTGGTGCGGTCAGGGACCCAGTGCACTTGCTGCGATGGTATTCGATGCCTCCTAGGCACTTGGGCGGATGAAAGAGAGGATGATTACCCAATGACTTCCCAAATCTATATTTTGTGACTTCCCGCACATGCTCGGACCACTGCCTCTCTCTCCATTTCAACTGCATACTTGTCAGTTGGCGCTACTCAATGTTGAGCCTTCTTAATTACTACTGTATATAATATATATGTACAATACGATAGTACAGTAGACTCTAGCAGACAAATGGAAATTCATTGGATTTTTCAGAACGCAGTTAGAAACTACAGCACGGTTGCGCACAAAGTCTTATATAGCCTTTTTGCCACAAAAAAATGCCCCGCGGCAGTGCATTTATCACTTTGTCCCACGCCACAATGCTTCACCTTCTGGAAAGGGCTCAAGGTGTTTGTTGCCTGTATCAGTCATGCATGGGTGCCCGCAAAGTAGCGTCTATCAGGTTCCAGCCTGGGCACAATCAAGCATTGGCCACATCATCAATCAGTTTCGGGTAGGTTTTGTGTAGACCCAATGTCCGAAGTGCAGACCACCAAGTCACAACTAACTAATTTTGCCAGAAATGCATAAAATACTGTTGGGGAGGTGTGCTTGTCCACGTTGTTGCTTCGGATGGGGCAAACATGCGACAATTTTCATTCCAGGACCAAGGAATCTACACTCTTATGCAAGGTCTTCCAAGGACTCGCAACCTTTTGAAACACCTTCCGCTCTTCAACGATGTCTGGATGTCGGTCACAGTGTCAGTCACACATTGCTTCACCGTGTCTTGGGTTGGTTTTCTAATTGTAAAACTTCGTACATTTCGTTGAGCTCTTCTTGGGTTCAAAGAATCTATTGAATCTTGAAAGCCACTCTCCGCTTTTGCATGTTCAATCGCAGGATGGACCTAGGCTTCCAAAGTATGCTCTGGACTCTGGGTTGTTCTTGGTGCAAGCTTCAGTGACCATTTACTTTTTGGTCTGTTTGGTCTGTAAATGTAGAATTTGGCTCCTCAAGAAGGACTATTTGCTGTGCCATGACTGCACAGCGGGTTTGCCTCCAGCTATCGAACACTTTGACTGCCGTTGCGGGTCATTGACCTTGATTGACCACATGTTTGCAGCAGAACGAAGCTGACCGCGTCTACTTAGACTTGGTGACCTGGTGGTGCTTTGTGAGGAAGTTTGAACCATGTTACATGCTGAACTGAAACCACTTCAACTCTTTAGCAAGATGCTCAAGTGATTTCAGACCTCTCTGATTTTGTTCAACTCATGACACATGTGCCCTGCATTGGAGCCATTGGCGGTTCTTTTTGTACTTCAGATCAATCAGCCACCCCTATTGCCCATGGCCATGGCCAGGCACAAGTTCCGGCAGAACCGGATAGAACATGATAACAGTCGCTGAGGTTAGAGCCCAGCAATGCCGAATGGCATGCCCAATTGGGAGCTCTTCGCTTGGCCTGGGCCCCCTCACCAGGGCGGGCATCGCTTAGCAGATGTAGTAGGATTTTGAAACTTTCAATGACTACATTATTAATACATGTTAAGTTAAGTTACATGCTACTATGTGTTGCTCTTCTGGTAAACCTTTGACTGTCATACGTTTCATTTCAATGCCAACTTCAGGTGAAGTCTTCGCAAACAGTTGCAAACATAAATCATAAATGTCTCTTTTACGGAGGGCTTGTGACATGTGTTCAACACCTCTATCTCAATTGGGCATTGGACTCACCAGTCGCAACACTTTGGCGCTTCCCTGCAGACATTTGCAGACTGTCATTTGCAGATTCGGACTTGCTTCATTTACCTCCAGGCTTCAGACCTCGATGTCGTAGAAGCGGAGGCGGCTGGTCACATGTGTTAGAGAGAAGACTTATGCATATTTACTACGATGGAGATTTAACCTCAGAGAATGTTGGGCACTCTAAAATGATGCTGGGTCAGAATCATTCAGAATCCAGCACATGTTTGTCTTTTGATGCTTTTGTTGTGGCAAGACTTGCATTTTGTTTTAAAAGCTGCCTGACAGTATGGAAGCTACGAACCTGCCTTCAGCGAATAGTGCGCAAACAGTTTGCAAACAAATTGGCCGATCCAGGCAGATCTTGAGCGTGCATTGAAACTGGACCCATGCAATGGCCTTGCTTTGGAGCAAAAGGCGCTCAAACCGAGTCTTTGAGGGATTGGGGAAATGACATTTGGGCGTGCATTGGCACGATTAGGTGAAATGCCGCCGAAGAAGAAAGAGTGTCCGTCGTGAATGAATATATAATGCAAACCCATCTGTGATTTGTGCCGCTTGGGGTGTCTCCCTCAGGTTTGCTGCCCTGAAAGTGCTTGCCAGTTTTGTTTAGAAGGTGTTGTGACATGATTTAATGTCAGGACACTGATTTCCCCTGTTAGTTTCCCTATTAAATGGGACGTTTACGTGACCATATATAGTTCACCCTGGCTGGTGAAAGGGCGTGGGAAGCCGAGTTTAGATAGTCTAGCTCAAGGTTACTGAGTCGACCAGGTTTCCGGCTGTTTCCCCCAAAAACCGGGAGTCAATGATAATGGTGCCACATCAGATATGGTGCAGTAACAGGAACATGTCCTGGCAATCCTTGCAGTCGTGTTACTGTCGGTGTCCATCTCCATGCTTGTGCAGTCATTGCTGTTGGAGCAAGCTGGCAAGGCAGGTGCTGGCGATTGGGGGCAGGTCTAGTCAGACAAACCTGGCATCAATGTTGGAACTTGGCAGCCGCGGGGGGGAGGTTACCAAGTTTTGTTGATCTCAAACTAAACCCCAAGAATTCAAGTCACAAACATGCCGAGATCCTGCCGAGTTTACTTGCAAGTCACACTCCCAACTGGTTCAGCTTGGATATCGTTCTCCCAACTCGAACGTGCAGCGTTTCTATATGCTGTTATGCTTCTCCTGCCAGGCTTGGTGTGGAAAGAACAAGCATCAACCACTATCAAGAACTCTCAAAGAGACAGCAAAATCACGCAAAGCCTCAAAATCATACACGCACAAACTACCTACCGAATCTCGGCTTTACCCAACTATGATGCATAGATCATGTTGGATGCTCTCAACGGCTTTGATCTAGAGGACGCCCAAGCCATTGGCTTCCTGGAGACTGCAGCTAGACAGAACCTCCAGTCCAAGGTGGGGCAGCCGGATGGATCTCTTGACATATGTCCTCAGGTTGTATAGACCTGCAACCCACTTCGCATTTGTTTCGAGAGCTTTCACTGTTGATATGTCAGCGGTGAGTGCTTGTCTCAATGTTTGGACTGAACATTGAAATGCCTTGAAAACATCCAAGATAACTTTGGAATCTTGGGGCAGGAGCAAGGACGCTACTAGGGGCTCCTGGCCTTACTACTAGGAGCAAGGACGCTACTAGGGGCTCCTGGCATCGCTACTGGGAACAGGAAACTATTAGAAACAATATATAATTAAGTAAAATTAACATTTCATTAGAAGCATGGTGTTTCACCCAGGAGGTTCTGGAAGTGGTGGCCAAGGCACGCTGGCGTCGGGGTCATTTCCGAGAGGCTGCGTCCTGGTACCAGGAGCGATGGAAGACCAAGTGATAGACAGTGCAACAGGAGACATTATGTTTAGATGCTGGATCCCTGGCTTTGGTTGCATGTTGTATGAGCGTTACTCTGAAGAAACAACTCTGGATGTCCAGGCTCGCTTGGCTCGATTTGTTCCGTGGATTCGCCATGGCTCCGATCCTCTGTGCTCGTCCAGAGATGGCTGAGGAGAGCTTGAAACACTTCTGTGGCTTTGGTGTGCGAAGCACACGCTTGCGTGGACGTAACCTGCGCAAAGGCAGCAGGCTCCTTTTGCCACGATGTGAGCTCGAGCTAAAGCTGGCCAAGCTTGAGCTTAACACACCAGTCCAAAGCCACAGACTTAGCATTTAGGGTCCCAGGGCAGGGTTCTCCAAAACCCATCAGTGGAGTTTGAATACTTCTAGCATCTTTCGTCATGAGGGGTGTGAGGCATTTGAGCGTGCATGTTGCATCAAAGTCCGACGAGAACAGATCAGGATACGGTATTTGTTGGCTCGGTTGGGATTCGTCAGTTCTCAGCGCCTTAGGTGATGGCTACCTCCTTGGCCTTCAGACAAAGATGCCACACGTGGGCCGCCCAAACCTTTGCGGTCAGTTTGCCCAGTGGTCCAGCTTGGAAGACTTTCGCACAGCCCCATGGCCAACATATGCTGCGAAACCATGCGAAACCCGTGTTTGATGTTCAGATTTCATCTTCAATGGATATGATATTAGTGGTATCAGATCTGTTTCCTTGAGCCAATCCATAAAATGGTTGGCAAAATTGTGAACATGTTTTACTATATATATAAAGATATGCACTACACTACTACATATACACGGAGGGTTGCTGACTTGGTCAAAGTTCATGTTTGGTTTCCAGTTTGCATAGTTTTGCGCCGAAGGTCCATGGCAAAGAACCTCATGTTTTGCGACAGCTGCAGAACAAGGTGAAAGTTTGCCCAGCCTGCCAGCAGCGTGCCAGCATGATTGTACATACAAGTTGCAGTTGCAAGTTGAACTTGAAATTGGCATGACTTGATAGTGGAAGTGCCTGTTACCCCATGCAAAAACTGGTGGTGTGTTTCTGCTCTTTTCTCCAGTGTACAGACTTCCGAGACTGAGGAAAAGCTGTGCACACACCATGCCGCAGTGCAACAACTGTTCGTTCCACTTGGCTGACACCAATGTCACCGGAACAGACAATGTCTTGATGGCATTCATTTTCGGGATCCAGAAGGGTCGCTTCCCTTTCACCATTTCGATAAGGGCCTGCAACGAGGAGGTCTTAGTCTTTGATGATCCTTTGTGCGTCTCAGTATGTCATTTGAACGTCGTCCCGACAGGAGTGTACATCCCGGACCTCCGCTACCTCTTCAAAGACCCCTTGCGAGGCAGGCGAATCGTGCAGAGGATGCTAGATGAAGTGGATAATGTTTGCCTTGAGCAGCACTGGTACGATGACTTGTTTCGAAAGACATACTTCGCCAACAAAGGCATCCCCGACTCTGCGACTTTGAAATTCATGGGCACAGCTGGCATGAACTTCCCTCCATCACAACAGCAGCTGCACCTCCAATATGTCCATGGTCCCATGCTGCCGTTTCAGTATGCAGTCTTCAAGAATGGGCTGCACTTACAGTATCGGCGCTTCTTCCCTGTCCAGTTCCTCCTGGACACACTGGATTTTGGTGATGCGGTGCAGATTGATGTTGAGGAAGACACCGAGATCGATGAAATTATCCGTCAAGCAGCTGCTGTAGGTGTGGACTACGATTCCTATTGGAACAATATGTGCGCACAGGTCAACCGGATTCAAAGCCAATGCGCACCATGGAAGGAAGAGGATTTCCTTTACCGTGTTGTGGGCTCGAAGGCTTATGATATCCAAACAGGACAAGAGATGGTGGGCACGAATATCAAGGCGGTTCAAGCAGCTGATGCGCCTTGGTTGTTTAAAGGGGCTTTGAAATTTGGACTTCAGTATACATGAAGGTTGTTGTAGGTTGGACAGTGCGGAAGATCAACTCCAGCAAGCAATGTACTTGAACTTGAGCTTGCCATGCGATGGAAATCTCGGTGTAACCTTCCCAAAATGAGTATGGTATAGTATGGTTAGTTACTGGTGAGAATGGACATCCAAGCAACATTTGGAGTCTGTTTTTTCCGGCTTTCAAGGGAAACGTTCGCAGCAGACCGGTCCCCATCACAGTGGCATTTTGTATTGAGAAATGAGGTGCAGAACATCCAAAGCTATGGATGGTCCTCTGATGATGGGAGCCCCTCGATGGGCTTCTACCCTTTTGCCAAAAGGGCTGCAACTTGGCTATGTTTCAGCAGAGGTGAGAAAGAGGTAGAGGAAGGCAGATAGGCACGGTAAGGTGGGTAGACTGATGGATGTGAGAGCACATAAGAGTGCACAATAGTACACATATAGTAGTAGATAAAGAAGTGGATAATCCAAATGCTGGCTTCACTCTTTCCTGCATTTTCAGGCAGAGATCGAATCCTGGCAGTGAGGGCAGAGAGTCTTGCAGCGGTGGCTTTTAAGTAGACCCAGCCGCACTCTACAGGTAAGACTTGATGCCTGTGGCTGTTTATACTGATCAATGCATGCCCCACAACACCTCCGATAGACCAATAGAATTCAGACCTGAGCTTCCTGTACAGTCCCTTTAGGAAAAAGAATGCCTTCGACCTTGGACTTTGTCAAGCGACCCCGGAATTGGGGCTTTGTCCTCTCGAATGGCTTTTTAGGCTCAGTGCCTGAATGTGATTTGCCTGGAGGGCAGATAGTACAGCACCATATCATCGTTTTAGCATTGTCACAGGAGAACGCACCTTGCCGAATTCGGGTCGGTCCCCAGACAGCTGCTCCCAACTTGCTGGTGATACGATCAGGTTTTTTTTACAAATTGATGTTTTGTTGTGTTGGGAGCTAAGAGAGGCCGAACTTGGGGCTTGACATGGTGCATTCTGTGCACAGCGAGTGTGTAGCAATCTCCCTGCAAAGATTGGGAGAATAGGTGAATCTGCAAGCAAGATGCATGGGGGCTCAAAATGGAACTGCGGTGGCTGATGCAAAGGTGAGAGGATCTCAGAGGCCACAAGTGCCGGGACGGGCCGGATAGGACATGTTCAAAAGATGTACGGGTTGGTGGCCTCGTAATTTTTGCCTTATATAAATACATTCAAAATCATTCAAATATTTATTCATACCGATTGTCAAGGCTTAGTCCACGTGAAGTCTACATTAGCCAATCGCCTTTTGGTTCATAGCGCAGATGTAGAATCGCTCGGCTCCGAGCCCTCGCAATCGCTCGGCCCCAGGAGTTAGAACGCTTGGATGACGGCCCCATGTGGCCCTGCCGCTTGGGCCAGGCTCAGCTTCATTTGGAGGCCGTGAAGGATGCGTCACTGGGCTGAACTCCTTGCAAACGGAGATGTGAATCAGAGTGGTTGGCAGACATTGGTAGGTGAAACAGCATGATTACGCAGCACTGGGATTGACTCTGCGGTCGATGAAGTCCCACTCCATGTTTCGAGAAACATCACGCGACGAACATTCCGCGTTGATCGTGCTTTGGCTCAAGAAAAGCAGCGCGTTTGAGGTGCTGTGTTTTTTCCAATTCGCTGCTCACAGGTTATGAGCCCAAGACCGCCATGTCAATGTCAACGATGAGAAGGAGAAGATCCGAGGCGGCAAGGAGAGAAGAAGAGCCCCTTGAGATTGGGGCAGCAGATCGACGACTTGATGCCCTGATCGAAGAGGAGGTGCGAAGAACAAGGTCAGCTGACGCGGGTCCGCGAAGATCCAATGCAGGGGCCAACACACCTCAAGGCCGACCCAAGGCCCTTCGACCGAGCCAGTCACAGGAGTCGAAGGAGCGGGCTGCAGCTGCTGGGGGGGAGCCGACGGATTCCTCATCGCTGAAGTCTATGAAGCCGGTGGACCCGGCGAGACCGCCTTCGATGGAGCCTGGGACTGACCTTCATCGTGGGGGCTTGGGGGCATTACACGATGCAGTTCAACAAACTTATCATGTTCTAAGACAAGCACTAGGTCAGCATCATCAAGGGCAAGGGCTATTAGGACCTCTCGGACCTCCCATTGATTATGCCGCTCAAGGAGGGCTGCTTGGAGATGGGCGGGGGCAGGTTGACCCTCGGATGTTGGACTATGGTTCAGGGGGAGCTCAAACCCCGGTGCGACCGCAGGAGCCAAATCCGTTCTGGAGTCCGGCGTTGCAGGACACGATGAGGAGAGCCACATCAGGTGGGTGATTTATCTGGAGGAGACGATTCTCGACGCCTTCATGGACCAGGAGGTGAAACGGGGCCTCGGGCGGTAGCTGGTGGGAACTCCATGTCAGGTGCTGCCGTGGGATCACCGACGAGAGATGATGTGGAGGCATTGAGAGTTCGCATCCTCAAGGAGGCTGAGGAGAACTTTGATCGAGAAGTGAAACGTCTCTTGGCAGCTAAGGAACCTGCAGACACGAATTCCTACAAGACTGCATCAAGTGGACCTCAAGGAGGAATGGATGCTGAGAACTATGCAGGACCTGAACGACCTCCTGGACTTCATTCGGGTGACCTGGGTGGCAAGGACCGAGGACCGGATTTGGGTTCGAGGGTGGTTCGCATTGGAGGTGCAGCTATGCCATCGGCAATGTCAGAAGCCCTGAGGAATCTCGAGCTTCCTCCGTTGCCCTCGCCCAACGCCGAAGGAGCATCTATCCTGTTTGTGGACTGGCTGACAATGAGCTTTCCGTTGATGGCGGACATCTCGAATAGTGCCAAGGCATGGTGGGAGGAATCGCTGTCCATTGCGCAGGACCACTATGCTCGCTGGTTGACGATGAGCCCCTTGGAGCGGTTGAGAGCGAAACCGGTGGTGGTGGTGGAACCTGCCCTACAGAGGATTGAACAACGGGGCATAGCAATGCTGCTGGGGGCATTGCCAGATCAGCTCCGGCGTGATCTTGTCAGTGGACGGCAGCTCTCGGTCGTCTACATCCTGTACAGGCTACATGTGGCGTACCAGCCAGGAGGAGGCGCTGAAAAACGCAACTCCTCAAAAATTTAGTGGAGGCGAAGTTTGCCACGGGGACATCGGAGTTGCTGACGCAAGTCAGGTTATGGCGACGATGGCTGACCCGAGCTCAAGAACTCAACCTCGCTCTACTACCTGACCCTGTGGTTCTTATGGTCACTGTGCAACGCATGATTGACAGTGCCACCAAATCAGGCGGAGCTCAAATGGCATTTCGAATCGCCAACGTGCGGCAAGAATTGCGAGTTGATTATGCAGCTACGGTGGAAGCTGTCATGGAGCTCTCTGAGTATGCCCAGGCGGAGGTGGAAGAAGTCTCGCTGACTACACCCATGAAGGCACAGCCGGCGACCACCAACACTGGAGCGGCAGGAACCCAGTCGACTACGTCTGTGAAGGCTATGGCATCGTCGTTTGGGGCGGTGGACTCTGATGATCGACCTTCACAGAAACTGGCCTGCAAGTTCTGGAAGAGTGATGAAGGTTGTAAGCGTGGCAGCAGTTGCACCTATGCCCATGACAATGTGGACATGAAGGGTCGTTGCTTCAATTGTGGAGGACTTCACATGAAGAAGGACTGTCCAAATGGAGCGAAGGGTGCAAAGCCGGACACGAAAAGGGTCTCCAAAGTGAAGGCCGCGAAGGAAGGGGAGAAGGCGAATGGGAGTGAGAAGAATGTCAAGGGAGGCTCTGCTGGTGAGGAACTGGCCGACGAGAGTGTGAATGCTCCTCTGACTGCCGCACCCAAGCGACTTGATTCCCCGGAGAAGCCCGCGGCGAAGGATGCAACCGCTGAGCTGCTATCGGAGGCCACGTCATTGCTCAAGACACTGCGAAGCATGAAGATGCTGCGAGTGAAGGAGCTCAAACACAAGGTTGGCGCTGATGAGGAGGCGGTGGGTCTCTTGGATGGAGGCGCAACAAATGGGCTCAGAGAAGCCTATCCACATGAGATGCCGCATCTGGTCCCAGTTCGGGTGAAGTTGGCTTCAGGATCGGCCACCTTGTACAAGGTCAACGAGCATCGAACGCTGTTGTCAAGGGAGAAGGTGGGGGTGATCGTGCCACTACATCGTCTGGTGGGACTGGGGTATCGGATTTCTCATCCTGAACATGGCCGTGTTGATTGCACCTTGAGAGGAGGGTGTCCAGTCCTACCTGAACGTCAGGCCCTTGCATTACTGGAGGTGATGGAGAAGGCTGATCGGGGGGAGCTGATGATTGATGAAGAAATCAAGTCATGGTGGACAGAGAGGTTTCCTGATGTTCCTGCAGAGACCTGGAACTACATGAAGGGGCAGACCTCATTTGACCCCAATGTTTGCCCGTGGAATCGGCATCAGAGGAGGAGGCATGAGAGATCAAAAGGGGTCATCCTGCACCTCTATAGCGGGAAGGATTCCAGGTCCTGGCTCAACATGGATTGGTATGGCTATGAGGTCATCAACGTGGACATCGTGAATGGAGCACAACATGATATGCACTCGATTGGCACCTGGAGCTACCTCTGTCACCTTGCACGACGAGGAAAGGTGGTTGCTGTGGTCGGAGGACCCCCATGCCGGAGTGTGTCACGATTGCGTCATCGCGGCCCGGGACCACGTCCAGTGAGAGGGCGCGATGAACGACGATTTGGTCTACCTGATCTTTCCCCTTCAGAGAGAGATCTGGTCATTGGAGATTTGGCACTGTTGTTGAAACAGGCGGGACTATGGATCATGGCTAGCGAGGCGAGAGACCCCGGCCAGAACACAGAGAACACCTGCCATGTGCCGCCAGCTTATTTGATGGAATCACCTCG